AACGATCTTTCATACACTCTAGCCTACGTTAGACTCCACTATGAGCAAAAAAAAACATAACTTTTAATGGGTTATTGGTATTTGTTATATTCATAGGGAAATAAGTAGAAATAACATTTGTAAAATATGAAAAATGACATATAAACAACACACACCTTTTTAGAAAGCTTTTTATTTTTAATTAACAATCAACAGGACCCAAAATATTGCCTACACACCATAGATAACGATTTACCATGCGGGAAAAATTGTGTTTAAAAACAAAAATACAGCAAGATTTCTAAATATCAACAGGATATTTACACTTCGCATCCCTGCACTATATAAAATAATCCTTGTCCCTATCAGTTGCTGAACATCACTTTAATATTGTTTGTTATATTTTTGCCTCCGTTTTCATTTGGTTTATTCGATTTCTTAATATCTGGCAAAGATGAATTTACATTCATTTTAACGTTTATTAGGAGTTTTCAAATAAAAAGGCAACAGTAAATGATGTTTATAACTAATATCTAACATTTACAGCTCTATTTGTTGTATAAAATTCTGCTTCTAGAACATTAATATTTTATAACAGCAAATTCAGGTGATTAACCTAATAACATGCCGAAACTCAAAATGTCAAAGATGTCCTTTAAATCAAGTTCAAATAACCTTACAGGAGGTCGATGTGGACATAGGCTAACTTTACTTTTGTCTTCCTAAGTATTAATTCAGACCCATAAAGAGAATTACGGCTAGATAGTGATCACCTGTATTTACCCCGTCATGGTGAGGCGTGTATCAGCAAACTAATAAAGCCCGATAAAACTAAATAAACAGTGTTCCAGCAGATCCTGTATGTCAGAAAGTATAGTTTACTGCTGAACAACTCATTTAATCATGGTAAAACAACACAGAATGGAATAATAACCCTTCAATCACGTCCTGAAGCTCCGACAGTCTGCTTTGAGAAACTGTCAATCATGATGGCATGCCCCTTTCTTTTAGCATTAAATTACTGGCTAAAAACATACTCTTTACAAAAATGAAGCTCTGCACCTATATCAGCACCATAACCAGTGCCTTAATTGACCAAAACCATCTTTCGGGAAATTTTATTGCAAGTTCAATTCAATTCAATTCAGCTTTATTTGTATAGCGCTTTTTAATGTAGATTGTGTCAAAGCAGCTTCACATAAATGGTCATAGTAACTTTAACAGTGTAGTTCAGTTTTTAGTGTTTAAGTTCAGTTCAGTTTAGCTCAGTTCAGTGTGATTTAAAATCATTACTGAGAGTTCAAACACTGAAGTGCAAATTCATCGATGTGTAGCTCTACCAATCCTCAACCATGCGAGCCAGTGGCGCAAGTGTCATTATTTTTTTTATTTTGGCTTAAGTCTCGTTCATTATTACGGAGGAGGCGGGCTTTATGGCTTTTACTGCAGCCAACCCCCAGGGGGTGATCTAACAGCCGGGACCTTCACTCAAAAGCAGGCGTGTGGCACACTTGGTCTAAACACATGCAGTATGGGTGAATTGGATTAAATAAATTGGCTGTAGTATATTAGTGCGTGTGTAAATGTGTATGGGTGTTTCCCAGTACTGGGTTGTGGCTGGAAGGGTATTCGCTGTGTAAAACATATGCTGGAATAATTGACAGTTCATTGCGCTGTGGCGACTCCTGATAAATAAGGGACTAAGCTGAAGGAACATGAATGAATGAATGTGTACTGTACTGAACTGTTCCACTCAGTAGAACTGAGCCATTGTTTTCATATTTTATGATATATTCTTTCATTTCTCATTCACACAGATGATTCAGAACTTTCAAGATGAGGTGTGTTTTGTCCTGGACACAATGAAAGGTATGAGCAAGCCATTTTTTCATACGGAGTGGTTTTCACCCACATATCTTCGTTTCTAGGTAACGTCTGTTTTATAACTTGCACTCTTTCAATTGCATTTGCAGCTGAAACAAACGATGGCTATCACATCATTTTGAAGTGAATGCATTGGATGCAGGGGAGTGAACAGTCCCTAATGTTTTTCTTAAGATTCAACCCACAGCCCCCTTCCTTGCGCACTTCCTGGACTTTAACCGAAGATCGCTTTGCTCGGAATAGTAATGGAGACGATCATGGGAAAGGAAAAGACCCATTTTTAAATCGTAACTCTCCTGTTGTTCATGGAGCGTTTGCTGCCTTTCCCACACACCCTTCTTATTTACAATTGCAAACAAAATCACAGAACTTATATTTTAGTAACTTTCATTTCATCACTTTGCATTGTTGCTTTTTTAAAGGCAAAAGAATTTGATTTTGTCTCGTTTATAATGTGCAAACGCCTCACCGGCTCAAATACAGAGAATTGGCTGGCAGTATTATTTGGTGTTGTCTGCCTGGATGTCATCCCATGAGTATTTTAGCCCCATGTGAAGTGCAGTCCACATGCCTCAATGAATACACGCATTATAAACAACACTTTAGAAAGTGCAAGGTTATAATGTCAGAGACTGGGATCCATCGTAGGCACAAGAGATTTCCAGGATGCTGAACACTGTTGTCAGTTCTCTTACCTGTGGAAAAATATACCCAGTCCCATTCTTAAATCGTCATCCTTATTGCAGATATACTGTTTAGCAAATGATCTTAATGTGATCGCAGTTAATAGAATGAATGAATTTCACGTCAAGTTTTGTTTCATGGCATCGCTAATGTTTCCCGTGTTTATTTCCTAAGTCTTGTGAGGGCGACTGTTTATGACATGATGTTTGGTTTTGTAGCTTTGATCCCGAATATTCTTCATGTGTTGCCGTAAATGCACGTTATTTTTGTAGACAGGAGATGAACGGCAGCAGTGGGCATTATATATGTGCATCTTTTTTTATTTTATTTTTTTACATTGTGCTTAACACACTTTTCTTTTTTTCAGAATTGTTGCATATACTAGAGTAGTTTTTACAGCCGTCAGAATCGCCAGAGCGTTATTTTACGGTATAAAAGTGATCATGTTTTACTTTTTGTTTCGTTTTTGGATATGACCACTGATGTACTAATCTTTCAGGTGGGGTAAAGGGGAGAAACGTTGCACTGCATGAGAAAAGGTAGCCGTGGTTAGTGCTAGACGCAAACCAGACCAAGATGGTAAAGACGTGAGGTATTGTCTGTTGTGACCCTTTACTGTGTCATTTCAATGATTAAAATGACTTACCTTGAAACAGACTGTTGTTCTGTATGCTGTTTGCTTTCCCTTACATACATGGCACTTATGAGAATAGTGCTTTAGTGTGCACTTTTGGGTTTTGAAAGTATTTTCCTATGCATTTTATCCCTTAAAGATATATATTTAAAAATGCAAGCCGTGAACAACATCAGCTAAAAGGGCCATCACAACCTTTACTTTTCTGTAATGAATATATGGATATTCATCTTGATTCTTTCTTTTGATGTCCTTCATAGGAGTGTTAGGAGCTTAAGATCTCTTTTAGAGTCACTTTGACACTCTGATTGGTGGATGGAAGAATAAGGCTGGGCAGTTTTTTTTTTTTGTTTTTTTGTAAAGCAGGGGTGTCTAGACTCAATCCTGCAGGGCCGGTGTCCTAGAGAGTTTAGCTGCAACCCTAATCAAACAAACCTGAACCAGCATATCAAGCTCTTACTACATATACGAGAAACTTTCTGGCAGATGTGTTGAAGCAAGATGGAGATAAAATCAGGTGGACACCGGCCCTCCAGGACCGAGTGTGGACACCCCTGTTGGGAAGCATTATGGTTAATGTAGTTTTTCTATTAATTGTGTTTATTTTAGGTTATAAATTTAAATGGATAAAAACAGATTGGTTTAACAAAAACAATTACAGTCTGAAAATAATCTCAGATCTAGAAACGAGTTTGTCTTTAAATGTTTAACAGTGTTACTGGTTAAAATCGATTCCTTCCTTTATCGAGAGACTATTAAGTTGTTAAGATTATATTAGAATGCCTATTAAGATTCTACAGTGGAAAACACTGCAGACAATTCATGGCCATTCAATAAGGCACTGCATTGGTAACATGGGTCAGGCCTGTAGCCAGCCTGGTGAAAGTGGGTGGTTCTTTTTGTTTTTAAAGGCAGACTTTTTTTTTTTTTTTTTTTTACAGCTATTTGGTTCATTTTCTATTTGATTTTTAAAAATTAATATATAATTCATTTTTTTAATTTTAAATTTTCTATTAAATACTGCATTTTAGTGACATTTCAGCACCGTTTTTTTGCTGGATTAGCCTGTCAGATGGTTGAAAAATAGGAATCTGTTAAATTTTTTAATTAAATCTGTTGCCTGTTGTCATTTATTAGACGAATGACAAACTGGTCAGTACATTCAATCTTCCACAGTCCAAATTTGGCCATTTGAATCATAAATTAAATTAGGTAAAGAATAATAAATTATAAAAGTACATTTGAAAGTTACAAATGACAACAAGTCTAATTGGTATTAAAGTTAAACTTTAATATTGGCCGCTTTTGGTGCTTCAAACTTTTTTATTGGTCTTAAAGCCTTTTTCATTGGGTTATCATATATTAATTATGGCATAGGAGTCAAAACAGGACAAAAGTGCTCATGTTTAGGACAAATTCTGGACGTTTGTCAGTGGAGGGTGGGTCTTTCATACCACCCGAACCCCCCCCCCCCCCCCCCCCTAGCTATGGTCCTGTGGGTGCACATCACCCAAAAATTAAATTAAATAAATAAAAATAAATAACCTCAAAATCTATATTTGCATATGTAAATTAGCAAATTTTGGACTATTAATATATCTTATGAAATGATTTAGCTTCATTGCCAAAAATAAGGGGCACAAAATATATAACCAAATCAATGAATCTAAATTAATCTCTTATCCTTCTCTTTTGAGTTTCAGGCTGAAATGTGTCCCCAGCATGAAGTTGACACACTGAGCTTCATCTACCTTTATTTTTCTTACATGTGTAATTGTTTTTGAAGTCTTTTCCTAATAGTGCTCGTCTAGTCTAGAGTTTGAGAATGACCCCACTTAGTTTCCATGGAAACCGAACTGTCAAAAAAAGCAAGGACTACAAACAGACCCAGCTAGCTTAGCGTGACTGTCACAGATAAGGCGTCTGTTTGACACACAGTTGCCTTTTATTGCGTTACACGCCTTGTTTCCAAATATAACCGCAGAGAGGAACAATGTCCGTTTTCCTGTCGAAGAAGACGACGTAGTTTCGAATGCTAACAAGCGGTTTTAGAACTACACTTCCCGGCATCCTCTACGCCGTCACGTACGTGACGTCACAATCAGTATATATGGGTGCCGTGCGGCATTCCTTACTCTATTGTTACATTGTAACAAACCGGGGCAGAAGAGAGGCCCATAGGGTCCTCGGGCCGACAGATACTACACATCATTTTTGTTTTTTCTTTCCTTCGGGGTGGAAATATAACGTTGCGATTTGTCTAAACATAGCGCAGAACACAACCACCAATCCGGAGGAAAAAAAGCCCCGAAGGCTCGGCTCTATCTGGTCTTTTTCAATGCAGGCGTTTTAAAGGATCACCTAGAGGTTTTATGTGCATTTATTGGACGCCTCAACGCCAGGATTTGTCATTTCTAGTGAATACGGTCCTTGTCTGCCTTCGTCTGCCCCGTTTTTTATCTTTACAGAGCTTGACTGCAACGTTGAATTCTCGCATAGGCTTCTTAACACACAAACCCCCCATTTACACTCCACGTAAAGACTAATATCCATTGTTTACGATGCTTAAATGTTCAGACATCACTATATCTTCGTGAAAAAGCTGATATTTCCTCTTTGGTCTGGTCATTTCCATGGGCTGAAGTCGCTTTTGTCTGTCATCTCGTAACCTTGTGGAAGTCTAAAGCTGAAATATTGGCTCAGAAAATCCCCAAAGAACAGAAAACCATCCAAATAAAGGAAGCACAGGAACGAGCGACAGATTCGGCGGTTTAAAGGCTGTGTATTTCTGCCCAAGGTAAGTCAACGAGAAAAAGGTTTTGTGTTTCACTTTTGCCTTGTCTTTCCCCATACAGCCCAGCCTACACGGAAAAATGGGTTGATCATTGGACCGGTTGCAACACAGCATGCCATTTTCTGCCCTGTCATAAGACCCTCTATCTGTATTTTCCAATAAAGCATATAAAATCATGGGATTGATCATATGTGATGTGTCATCCCAATCATAGTGGGTCATACTGTGGCAGGCCGTTTTACCATCTATCCCTTTAACGTGAATGTGTTTCAGCACTTCATTTATAAGCACTTTGTCAATCTCTGCTATTGTGTTGGTAAATTGTTTCCCATTGCATTTAATATTTCAGTGACAGTATATTCTAGTAATTAATATACAAATTGTTTTCTTTGATGCTTGATATAATGTGTTATCCTAACAATATTGCATTCAAATATACACCAATCTACTTTATGTGTTTGTCACTAGTTCCAACAGATGTTACTAGAGATATTTCTTTACTCACTTGTGTTTTTCTGGTAGTGGCCAGAAGTCAAATTTGGAAAATGTAGTTCATAATTTGACATGCACAACACTACATATGATGATACTATTAGTAAATCTTAAAAAGCAATGACAACTGAAATACACAGTCATCTATATAATTGGATGTCAAATGTTTGCAAGTTGTTTCTATACTAATAATTGCCAAATAAGTGTCATTAACTTGTTATTTAGTGTGATTACTGAATAAATAATTGCTGAATCTATTATAAATGCACATTATTGGTAAAATAATTGCATTTTAATAGACACTGTTGTGCAAACAGTCATAATAAATCGTCAATTATTTGCCTATTTCACTGCCAGACCCCTTTAATATCCCAGATGCTGGGTGTGTATGGAAGCGGTGCACGGCAGCATCTACAAATAAAAATAATGTTTGCATTTTAAGAAATTGCACCGTCACCTATGCAGTTTGTCCATTGAAAGGCATAGTGTTTGTGTGTGTCACATCTAGGACGAGCTATTTCAGTGCGTACCAGTCAAACAGGCTGATGTGTAGTCAGTTCGGCAAGGTGATTATTCATGCTTTCTGTCCACCTCAAATAGACCACAGGATGTGTGTGTGTGTGTGTGTGTCTGCAAACATAGACCAGCCCACAGTCGCATCATTGCTTTTAAATGACCTGTGCTGCATTCATTCATTTTCCTAAACATGTCATTTCTTGATTTTTTGAGGATTTGCGCTACTGGATTTGCATTTTTGGATTGAAGGAGTGTCTCTGGATGTATGGGATCATATTTATTGCCTCGGGGACCATCTCTGGGATATGTAAATTATGTCAAACATCCGACATATGCCTTTCAATGAAGTTCGTTTGTCATTTATTTGATATGCATTGGATTATTATGTTTGCTTTCAGGCTCATTTTTTGTGCTCCGGTTTTTAATAGTAATGGTCCCCAATAACCGCATGGTACAGTGTGCAGTGCTTTTAAAAGCCGCTTGCCAGTTGATCATAATTCAAAAATGAAGAACTACTGAGTACTTTGCATCAAAAATGGTGTGTTTTATACCAGTTTATTGCATATTTGAGATATCCATGTTTTAGGTTTTGATCATGGAGAATATGTGAACCTGATTTCACCAAGTGGGACATGTTCCTGGGTTAACATCTATGTTGATCCTGGAACAAAATTCCAATCAGCCAATCGGAATTGAGGGCTATGTTTTCCGTTTATGTTATGCTTAGGCTTCGGTTAGGTTTATGCACTTCTATATGATTGTTATCCAACTATTATTCACCTCTGATTTTGGGAATAATTTACCGTTATGGTTGGGTTTAGAGGTAGGGAATAGGTATGGATTATATTTTCCCAACATGTGGCAATGTGTGAAACTAAAATTTACAGTTTTTAGATTCAAGATTAATAGTTTTCTAATGAAAAGTGCTGGTGATTATTGTTATCATTTTAGCATTGATTTATTTAGGTTTTACAATTAAGAGGCCACTTAATAATTCATTAGTATTTTACTGGATTCATTTATTATGTGAATGAGTAAAGTGCAAATTTCAAATTTAAATTTCAGGGCTTTTTTTGCCAAGAAAATCACAGTCAGTCAAAATAACAAATGTTTTCATTTGTTGTAATTGAAAATCAGAGTTTTCCTAGTGATGGGTTGGAGCTGGAAGGGCATCCGTTGCATAAAACATGTGCTGGATAAGTTGGAGGTTCATTCCGCTGTGGTAACCCCAGATTAATAAGGGACTAAGCCGAAAAGAATAATGAATAAATGAATGAAAAATAAGGGTTATTCCATCACATCTCTTATTTATTCTGAAGCTAAAGCATTGGTATGTTGTTGTCTTTAATTAAATATAGAAAATTAATATAAATCTGTCTAAAAATGACACACTTTTGTGTAGAAAACTATGCCGTAAATGACTGTTTTTATCTTAAATTCAGACTAGATTTCATCAGTAGTTTACAGCAGTAGTTCCCAAAGTGGGGTCGCTTGGTGATTTCCAAAAATCTAATTTGTTTTATTAAACTATTAGGATTATCATATTTTATCTATAACCAACAAAATAAAAATAGTAGTTACTAATTACATTAAAAGAACAACATGCAAATAAAAAAACATCAGCCTTTCTATTTCTTTGTGACCCCTGGGGTGATTACGTTATATTAAAGACACAGCACGCTGATTTTATGGCACCAGATTAAAGTTCTGACACCTTTGTGGCACTCGTGAACATTAAAAATACATACAGGCCACAACTGCACATGGAGAATGGTCTCCGAGTGGCGTTCTTCAAAAATAAATGATGAATAGACTTAGGCCTATTGGTTTGTGTGCATCGGTGTGTAAGGACACGAATCACTGGCATTGTAATTTGAGGGGTCACGGGCTGAAAAGTTTGGGAACCCCTGGATTATAAAATAAAACCCACATTATTTTGTTTTTCTACCACAAAAATGGATACAGAATTACCACTGCTCATAAAATGTGTATTGCTATAGGCTCTATTGCAGTTTTATTCTTTCACCACATGACTTTCCACGACCAAAATTAACAAAGCTATTAAAATCTCTTCAACAACAGTAGTAGCAAATCTAAAAAAAAATTAGCAAAGCTCGTTAAAATGTCACATTTTAGCATTCGACCCAATAAATATTGCCTATATACTGTATAAAATGAATATTTGTTCATGATATTTCATGGAAATTCAACTCATTTTCTTAGTAAAAGTCAGGAAATTTGACATTTGGCTTAAAGTGAGAACCATAAATCTGGTAAATCCAGATAAATTGAGAATTTTCAAGTAGTGTTCATTGCTTTTCAGCCAATTTGTTTATAAATGATGACCGAAATGATGGCTCTGTTTAGACGTTGAGTCGGGATGAACTGTAATTTAATTAGGTGGCATGGTGGCTCAGTGATTAGCACTGTCACCTCATAACAAGAAAATCGTTAGTTCAAGTCCCGGCTGGGTCAGTTGGCATTTCTGTGTGGAGTTTGCATGTCTCCCCGTGTTGACGTGGGTTTCCTCCGGGTGCTCCGGTTTCCTCCATACGTCCAAAGACATGCAGTACAGGTGAATTGGGAAAGCAATATTTGCCGTAGTGTATGAGTGTGAATGTGAGAGTGCATGGGTGTTTCCCAGTACTGGATCGTGCCTGAAAGGGCATCCACTGTGTTAAACATATGCTGGAATAGTTGGTGGTTCATTGCACTGTGGTGGCCCCTGATAAATAAGGGACTAACCCGAAGGAAAATTAATGAATGCAATTGAATTACCCTTTGCGAATATTTGTTGTGTATGTTTGGTGCTACAAGCTTCCTCTTGCGTAATTGCATACAGTGACTGTGCTTTACTTTAAGCATATGCATATATATGGTAAAACATATGGTGTTAAGACACTTAGTGCTTACGATGGCGTCCAAAGTTTGGCTTCGAGGATAAATCTTGGCTTGCTATGCTGAATGCACATTAATTGGCAGACCCTGCATTACTTGCTATTGCAGCCTACTTGTAAATAACAGCGTCATTTCGATGCATCTCACTGGATCGCCGTGGTAACATTAATTATAGAAAGAACACATGAAAGCAAGGTTGGTTTCACAGCAAGCTACAAGCGGACTTGTTTCTTAGCATTACTTGTTTCTATGGATACAGTTCATTCAAGAGCAGCGCACCGTGTGTCAGAAACTGATGCGTAAAGCAGCTTATTCTCAATCAGGCATCGCTCATAGTTTGTCGTCCCTGTTGTTTGTTGCAGCTGTTTTTGATGCTTCAAGGACAGAGTGCATTTAATATGAGATATAGCAGATGTTAGCGTGTATGTGGGATTTGAATTCAAGGTTAACAGGCCTGACTATTGAATGAATGAGGTTATAAAGGTGAAAACTTACTGCTATGCATGTTGCAAAACGTACTTCTATTGATACTCTATAAAGGATCAATGGTAAATCTTAGGTTATGAGAACAATGCTTTGAAAATACAGAGTATTAGGTGATGATTGTCATTGTTTTATCATGTTGAGCTTATTATTTAACATTTAAATAGAATCTAGTTTGCAGGCTAAAGCTTAAAAGTTCTCATTTTGTCTTGATTTACTAGATTTGCAAGAGGTTTCGATAATATATTATGAAATGTTTTATACCATAAAAGTTAAATAATATTTCTTCCCAATTTCAAATGAAAAGTTGACATTTCAAGACCCCCCATTGAAAATTGGGTTGTTAAAACCAAATATTATATTTAACTAAATTCACGTTTATTTCTATAGCTCTTTTACAATGTATTTTGTGTCACAGCAGCTTAACATAGAAGTTCTAGTAAATTGAGACTGTGTCAGTCCAGTTTTCAGAGTTTAGGTTCAGTTTAGTTCAGTTCAGTGTGTTTTAACCTTCACTGCTGTTATTCCAAACACTGAAGAGAAAATCCATCGATGCACAGCTCCACAAGTACAAAGCCAGTGACGAGTAACAAACTTCACCAATTGACGAAAGT